GCGAAGCTCAGCCAACATGGTGAACATGCAACCAATGAAATCTACCGTGAGGCGGCGACATGAATACAAGCTGCACAGAATATCACGCACAAGACAATGCAAGCACAGTCAAGCACAAGATCAAACTAATGCAAAGCAAGAAGATGACGGACAAGTTTTAAACCTTGACTCATCCGTGACACGGCTGCCGCTCCGGGCTCATAAGTGAACGAAGTTCGTCAAGGTGCCTGCTCATCCGCTGAGTAAGCGAGCGGTCACGATGAGGTGACTCAGCGCCTTCTCAGTGAGCTTGGTGAGATAGCCGGGCTCCAGTCCCCACGAAGCCGCCATCGCCCCGAGAGTGGGTGCGTCGCCTTTTGGCATGCGTTGACGCGCCTGAAGGAGTTGCGTCGCCATGGAATCCAATGACTTGTTGCCGTTGAGCCGGGACGGGTGATTGGCCCACTTGACCAGTGACGTCAAAGTTGTGGTTGTGGGCGATTGCTTGAGATACAAGCGTGGCTGGTCACTGGTCCATGTGTAGTACTTGACAACTTCTTCCGGCGTGCTGTGCATGGTGAGCAATTGTGAGGCCGCCGGCTTGGACGGTGGTGAAGAAACTCCGTGAAGAGACTGAATGATCCGGGGCTGCACCGCGCTATCAAACGACTTGCCATCAAGGGCCGCTGCGCTGGCCGTAGGGAGGGAGCTGGCAGGCGACGAGGATTGTGTGTGGTTGACCGGTGGTGGTGTAACCAACTCTGCATCATCTTTCTGGCTTGCCACCGTGGGGGAAGTCGAAGCGCGCAGCGATGCTGAATACTGAGCCTGGAGCAGTTCATGAGCACGATTTAGATCATTGTACTTCTTGACCATGTCATCTGTCTGGGTGGGAGGCGTGAGAGATGCGTGGTGTTGTTGAAGAAATTGAAGTACCAAGTTGGCCAAATGGTCATGAACCTTGATCCGCTGATTGAAGTCATCGAGGTTGAGTCCCAGCGAATTGGCAAGGTCCTTTTCCAGGGTGAGCAGGTTGATCGACTGTGATCGTCGTAGTAGTTTGGAACAGGTACTCCAAAGCAAGGCCTCAGTGCGAGTGCGAAAGCCTTCCCACGTCACGAATCTGCCGTGAGCGAACGGTCGGAGCAGCCAGTTGGTGAGGCCCCCATGAATAACCTGAACCAGGCGAACGTCACGAATGTCCATGCCTGACATGTCGCATTGGTTGCTATGCGGAGTGTTGGCAACCGTCATGGGCAGGCTGAAGTTGTAAAGCTGATTGACATCTAACATGCCATCTCCAGGTGTCCAGTCAGGTGATGGTGTAAGCCAGGCTTTCTGAGGACGAACCGGTAGAGCAGCAGGAGGTCCAGGTGGCGGTATAGGTTGCGAGGTAGTGACCGGTGGTGACATCACGGACGGCATGAACTTCGTTGGCGTGGGCTCTGGAGGAATCGGCATCATGTAGTTGATCGATGGATGTTGGAACTGCTGCGTGGGACTAGGGATCGATTGAAAATTGGTGGGCATCATCGGGAAATTGTTGGCGGAGTTGTAGCCAGAATTGTGTTGCCAAGATACCAGGTTGTTCCAATCCATGCCCTCCGAGACGTGGTGGTCATTGTGTTCACGTCGGTGTGCTTTACGAGCTTGAGGAGAAGTACTCCGGTCGCGTCTGCGCCGAGTCCTGGATCTATCACGATCATCACGTCGAGATATGGTGACGCAACCGACTCTCAATCTTCACACTTCCACCTTGAGAGAAACGAATCCGACAACATGCAAATCAATGCAAATGCAAGTCATCGGCCCTCAGCTGCGATGGTTGAAGAAATGGATCCGACAAAAGGTAAGTCGATGCAAGTTGATGTCAGCGTCCATCAGCAGCATTGGTGCAAGAAATGAATCTGACAAATGAAAGGCAATGCACGGTCAAGTCAGCAGCAATCAACCGCTGTGGTGAGAGCAACAAATCCAACAAATGGAAAGCGAATGCAATGCAACTAAGCAGCCGTCTGCAGCTATAGTGAATCCGACAATTACAAGACAATGCAAATTCAAGTCAGCAATCTTCAACCGCTATGATACGAGCAACAAATTCAACCAATGGCAAGCCAATGCAATGCAAGTCGGCAGCCAGCAGCTGTGGTGAGAGGTCACTATGGTCTGACCGCTGTCTTCCCTTTAGTGAAACCTCGTTCCTGGTTAAATGTGAAATTCCGCTGTTCTATGATAAGCACGTTGAGGTCAAATTTTCCGACAGAGCCGGCCCGGGGTCACACAATGGGTACACCCGAGGATTCCCCACGAATGGGGTGTACACACTTAAACTCCAAATGGAGAGTGCTAATCTTTCGAGTACAACTGATGAGTCTCGAGTACAACTGATGAGTCTCGAGTACAACTGACAAGTCTAAAGTCGGATGAGGTTCGGCTGGCAAGTCACTTGGCTTCACTCTAGTGTCGAAAACGTTACAAGTTCCAACATGAAGCACACACAGCGAGCGAAAGGAGAGGGCCAAAAGGACTTTCATCAACATCACTTCACAAAAGCAGGTACACACGGGTGATCAATCCGTGCATCCACCA